GTAATTATGTAATTTTCAAATTTACAACAAACTGACTTGACTGAGAGAAACCTTGAGGCAATCTAAAGATATATTAAAACAAAATCAAAAAAAAATTTTGTATTCACATTGTGTGTTCACATTTGTTCACATTTATAAACTATATAACTTTATATTTTAAACTCCAGTTTAAATACTTTCTTTCACACTACATCAAATTTAATGATGGGGATGGAGTTATTATTATATTTTAAATAATTAATGTTATACATTTTTAATATAAAATACCCATTATACCATTACATTATACTTTTCTTTAAAATTCTAAATGGTTTTTTTAATAAATTAAAAGTAAAATAATAGTATATATTAAAGTAAAACAAAAAAAAACTATTTTATATTTATACTGTGTATTTATACTTATAAATTAAATAATAATTTTATTATTATTATTATTAAAACTCTAAACGAGATTCAAAGTAGATTAGAATCGATTTAAATACTCCTTTTCACATTACACCTAATTTTTTTTTATTATTCTTATTCAATCAATCAATTTAATTCAATTATATTACCAATTTTCCTAAATTCTTATTAAAAAAAATATTCATAAACGTATGTTTATGTATACGTGTAACTAAATTTTTTATTTGTTATAATTAACAAAGATTTTGTTTATAATTTTAGAATTCAAAATATAGATAGTTGGGACCATAGCTAAAGATATATAACTACGTGGAATAGATTTATTTTTTAGTTATTTTATTTAATATTTTCAATTGAAAAAAATAATAGTAGTAATAATTAGTATAATAATTTATACGTATATATATACATATACGTAATAAAGAATTTATTCTTTAATTAAAATTAAAATCCTAAAATCATTTTTGTATTTAGATTGTGTGTTGACACCGATACACATTTATAAATTATGTATAACTTGATTATTATTTTTTAATTCTTTAATTATTCTTTAATTTACCTTAAAATTAAAATCTTTAAAACTTTTTTATATTCAAATTGTGTGTTCACACTTATTTACATTTATAAACTATCTATAACTTTATTATTATTATTCTTTAATTATTTTTTAATTCTTTAATT